AATTTTAAGGTAAGAAAAACAAGTTAACAATGTTGGATTTTAACTATGACTCCATCGCAACAGCAAAAATGATTAAGAGGAAAAAAAAAAAAAAACAAAACAAAAAAGACCTTGGCAGCACATTTCTTGAGTATGCCAAAGGCACGAATAATCGGTTCTGGCATCCTCTCTCGGTCGCCTCCAATTTCAAAGTTCTGCAACGATCTCTGAGTTTGTGCCCCCCATAACCTGTAACAACTCAAAGATACAATACTTAGACACTTCTCTTGATCGAGCGATAGAACAACTTAAAAACTGAGCTTATATGTACATTACAGAGACTGAAAGGCCAAAAAAGATTTGAAGAGAAGAGGTCGAGATTCGAAGACGAACTTATCATTTGGAACAAGAATGGGGCCGAAAGTGTCTTTCTCCTCCCTGAACGACGTCGAGTAAGATCGCCAGCAAGCAGCATACTGGAGGGAACCAAGTAGCCGGGAAGTGGTGGCTCCCGGTCCGCCTGAGAGCCGCCGGGATACGATATACACAGCCATTTTCTGTACCTCAAATCTAATCCTGCAAATCAAGACACCAAACTATGCTGAGTAAGCAAAAATCCGAGTCAATAAAACTTCTCGATTGAGAGAAATAGGACCTGAAATCGGAGATTAGATTCGGAGTCGGAGAGGATGCGACAGTGGATATAGAGCAAGTTGAGCAACGGAGACAGGAGATGATTTGGTTGTAACAGGAAGTGTATTGGTTGGCAGGTGTCCCTACTCCCTAGACCTGGAGTAGTGAGAAATTTTTGGTTGGTTTCCAATTGTACCATATTATTACTGTTTGGAATGCAAATAAGAATTCATTTTTTCTTTGTTAAATTCATTTTTTCTTTGTTTGGAAGGTTAAGATGCTTTTGGATCTATTTTTGCATATGATGAGATTAATATTTCTCCAAACTATTCTAAAAATGCAGTTATATATATATATATATGCACGACTACGTAATTTAAGTTTATCGGAAAAAGGGGATATGAGAGGAGAGTATTTTTAAATTCCTTGACAGAGGAGTGCAGAACTATTGTCAAAGTAATGAATAATAGCCTCTGACGTCCCTTTTTATTCATTGCCAATTTCAAAGTTTTTCGATAGTATTTGAGTTTGTTCTTCTCATAAGTTGTAACATCTTAAAGATACAATACTCAAACACTTCTCTTGCTTAAGGGTGATAGAATTCTTAATTATTTAGTCATGATACACAAAAAATATATATATACATATATCTGTGATTATTTACAGTGACGGAGCCAGGGGCGCTCGCTCCCTTGAAATTTAAAAATTTTATAAATTAGTATATGAAAAATGTTTTAGTCTCTCCTGAACTTTGAAAATTTTAGTATTTGCCTCTGGAAAAAAATTTCTACCTCCGTTCCTGATTATTTACCCTATTTAATTGTATAATTTCTTTTCAAAATATAGACATATCATTGTATAATATATATACATATATTTTCATACATGAATATACATAAATAAGAGTTTGTGTGTACATATGTTATAAAATAGTCCAAGATTTTGTTTCACTTACGTGGGACATTCCCATTTAAGGATGGGATATCACAAAGCTACAAATGAGCCAAATTATTTTAATTAGAACTTAAAACAGAAATTATGGCGGCCACCTACGGCCAACACGAAAAGGGGTATGGTTGGCTCTAAAAAAACACTCTTGAGAAATGCCACCACTAAAATTTATAAATAGTAGTGGCTTTTTTAGGGCCGCTACTAAAATCCACAATAGGTGGCAGTTTAAATAGTATAAGTACATGGTTGATGTCACCTAATGTTGCACCCTTACCCCTTCAAATTCTTGGTAGCTAAAGCAGGGAATTAGATTGGGTGGCCATTTTTAAAACTTTTGGTGGCAGCCTTGAATTCCACATCAGATGGACCGATCATTTTCTGAGGTACCACAAGCGTATCAAATTCTTCACTTGTCAGCACTCCAAGTTTCAGTGCAGCTTCCTGCAGAAGTGGGCATAGTTAGATCTAACATTTCAACCATCTAGAGTTGGGATAAAAAAAAAAAAAAGAAGAAATTTTAGATTTAACTACAAAAAAAATAATTTTCATGAATTTAACAATTAAGAGGTCAACTTATAAATAAAATCATTTTATCATATGAAACTCCATCAGAGAACAGTAAATAGAAGGAAGCACACCTTCAGGGTGGTTCCCTCCTTATGAGCCTTCTTGGCAACAGCGGCAGCATTGTCGTAACCAATTTTCTAAAATCAAAGAGAAAATAATTAGTTAGACATTATTTAAAATGCAAATTCTGGTAATATTTTGGCAAGAAGACAGGATTGGAAACTCACAGGGTTCAAGGATGTCACAAGCATTAGCGACTGCAAGATCATTTCAGATGTCAAAAGGTAACAACATTTGATCAGTTAGCTTGAGATTTAAGTAAAATTAATTGGAAATTTTTGTATGTAGCATCAATCAACTAACCTCTTGCAGCAACTTTGAAATTCTTTCTTTGTTGGCCTGTATGCCTCTCACACAGTTCTTCTCAAAGGATGCAGATGCATCTCCCAGCAACCTCAATGACTGTTATCAGAGAATCAAACCACTAGTTTCAAAAATAAGTGCATACAGAAAATGATGTAGCTATATGTGTCTTACGGTCTCAGAGGGCGTGTGTGTGTCTAATTCCGTAACACCTATAAATTGTTGAACCATAGAAAGTTAAATACTAGATGATGAATATCAGACTGATCAGTTTTGAACATACATGCAGGAGAGCGTTAGCAATCATTGGCTTGAATACATTCAGTTCAAAGTGCCCATTTGATCCACCCACTGTAATGGCAACATGGTTTCCCATAACCTGAAAAAATGAACAAGTGAACCATGTTATCATGATGAAAGGTTCTCAAGTGATATTGGGTCTGATACCAACTACAACCTGTTAACAGGGGTAATAACAAATACATGTTTGTAGCTGTGCAAAAAAAAACAAATACATGTTTGTAGAACTGGCAAACGGGTGAGTTGGGTCAAGTTAGGGTCAAGTCAGAAGGAGTAATGGGTCAAAACGGGTTGGGTTAAAACGAATCACGGGTCAATGAAGGCAAACCCTAACCCGTCCATCGTGGGTCACGGGTCAACTCGCGGGTTGACCCAATTATTTTTTTTTTCTATAATTTGTACCTATTATCATTCATAGAAAGTTATTCAAAAGATTTTAAAAAAAAATTCAACATCTTATAAAAATAATTTTTTTTCATTAATTTAATATATACATATTTATAGTTCTTCAAAATCACCTTCTTTATTTTCCTTCAAAGAACAATGCTAATCAAATTCAATAACACTACACTTATAGATCTCAATAGCCAAAAAAAAAGAAGAAGCAATAGTAGCATGAAAACAAAAAAACACAAACCCCATTGAAACATATTAGTGGTCATTGCTTTTAAAGAATAATTAATTGAATGCATCTAAGTAAGTAAAGGAGAAAATCAAGTAAAATTTTTACTTGAAATGGAAAGAAAACTAAAAAGCATAAATAAGTAAACAACTTACCTTGAAGTCTTTAAAGAGAAAAGTTGGTGACAAAAAGAGCACTTGCTAACTTGCTGGACTCATAGGAGAAAAAAAGAAAGGGCTGAGTGGACGCAATGGTGACTTGATAAGACTAAAATTTAAGTCTGAGATAATGTTAAAAATTAAAGAGAAAAGGTGGAGTCAAAACTTGAAAGTCAAAAGTTGTATAGACTATGGAAGTTGAAGAATATAAGAAAGAGTTAGAAATTTGAAGAGTTAGAGTTTTCGAAAGTATTAGGGCAAACAAGAATATGAAAGGTTGGGAGGTGAGTTATGAGTGGAGTAAGATTATTTTTACTTCTAGAAGATAATGAGTAAAGGGAATCAATTAGTTAATTAGGGAATATTAGTCAATTATTAAAGGTTTAGGTGGGATTGAGAATTAGAAAACAAAATAAATAAATAATAAATTAAAAAAATTTTAATTTTTAGACAGGTAAACAGGTTAAACCCGTTAACCCGATGGGTCAACCCGTTATTAATCCGTGACCCGTCGAGTTCTCTTAACGGGTTATTAACGAGTTATTAACGGATTACGGGTCATAAATATATAACCCTATCCTGTTTTAAACAGACGGATAATGGACGGATTAACGGGTTGGGTAAAAAATTACCAAGTTTACATGTCTGCAATCCTCAAGAGGAAAGCATTTACCTGGGAACAAACCATTGTGAGAGCCTCACACTGGGTGGGATTCACCTTCCCCTGAAACAGGATAAGCTCAGTTCAAGAAGTAAAATGACATGGGACAAAAAACCCTCAAAGAGGGGAAAAAACATGTCTGAACACAAAGCCCCCCAAAAAAAAGGAAAAATGATTTTGAGAAATCATAAACAAGATTTACAGGCATGATACTGCTGCCTGGCTCATTTTCAGGAAGACTTAGTTCGCCAAGTCCACATCGAGGACCACTGAAGAAGGAAAAGAATTGAAGTCATAAAAGTAATGTTGAAGAGCAACAAATTGGAAAGAAGTATCTATAGATCCAGGAAGTAAGCCTACCTTCCCAATAAGCGAATATCATTAGCAATCTTCATCAGAGAAGTAGCAATGGTATTAAGGGCTCCACTGGTTTCAACAAAGGCATCATGTGCAGCCTGGAAAAGATAAAATAGCCGAGAATCTAAAATTATTTTTGATCTACTGACTGAGATATAAAGCAATAATCGATTCTTGTGGCCTAAAGAAAGCAAGAAAAAGAATCGAAGCACAATCAGGGAACTTGGAGATTAACCAGTGCTTCGAATTTGTTTTCAGCAGTGACAAATGGCAATTTAGTTTCCTCAGCTATAGCTGCAGCTATCTTTATATCAAACCTAGATAAGACAAAATGAAATTCCATTAGGAAATTTCTACTCTTTCTAAAATTTCTAGAAGAGTTTAAGAGAAAATAAACTCTGTATCAAAGTGATCATAGGTCAGCAGTTAATAGATCAAACATTAACTTTAACTTTAAACACCCCCCCCCCC